TCCAGCTCCTTTGGATAATTTTGTATGAAGCCCTGAATGGCCAAAAATACTTAGGGTAAACTTCACAGTTCTCACTGAACATTTGGCTGTCTTCATTGTGATTCATTTCAGATGCTGTGGTCTATTAATAAAATAATTTATTGAAATACAGCACACAAGTTAAAGTGTGCCTGGAACAAAGTCTAAATATAGGCAGTGGTATCAGGCAAGGCTACGTTTTATTTTTGGCATTCTCATTGAGTTTCTTGTGAGGAAAAAATGTTAGTGTAAGACAACGTAATTACTGTGCAACTGAACAGCAGTATTCTAGAGATGGCCAGAGCTGTCTCGGCATAGTCTAGGTCAGCTGCATAACAACTCAATTTACATTAATTTACTGACCACAAGAACATTTGGTTTTGGGCAGGATCAGTCTTCTTAGTCAGCTATGGATAAATACTCAACTAAATCCCATGACATCCAAAAAAATCAATTCAGGTCTTTATTTAACATTTACTGTGGGATTTTTTTGTTTTTCTTTAGTTTTTCCCCTCGGTTTATATACCTTAGCTTCAGTGTGTGAATCAGTGGAAATGTTCAAAAAGAATTAAGTTAATAAAATTATGGGAAAACAGCTGTATTCATTTACTGTTTAGAGAGAGTGGTTGAAATGTCTTCCTTAAAGTTATTAAGAAATGAAAATATTTGGTATGATTGTGTCCCCCCCAGAAAAGGTGCATGTGTGTGTGTGCTGGAGGATGCACAAAATGAACCTACAGGAAGAATTCTGCTGCTGAGCAGTATTCATGGGAGGAAAATTCTTGTAATGTTTAACAGCACATCTGAAATAGGACCCAGATGGTGATGGTGGACCTTGTTTGTATATGAAATATGGCAGTATAAAAAGGGACCAAAATCAGAAAGGAATAATGAAGTCTTAATTTTTCTACATGTTTTGGATAATTCCGTTTCGATAATTTGTTTTTGTGCATAGCTTGGACAGATAATACTGTTTTGTTTTGGTTTTTTTTCTCTTTGTTGTTGGCCTTGATTACACAGGCACAAAAATTTGTGGTTTTTTTAAATCTCATTCATAATATTTTTTTTGTTTGTTTTTTAGGCTGTTGAAAATCTCTGTTCTTACAGAGTCTCTGCTACACTGTACAAACAGCTGCGACAAGTCTGTGAAGATCATGTGAAAGCACAAATCCTTCAATTCAGAGAATATCCTTTTCTCACACACAGAAGTGGTTAGAATGGTTAGTTTAAATAATTATTTTTTTAAAACAACACTTTGCAAAATTTACACTAGTAATTGCCAATGTGTTAAAGAGGTTCTTTGTTGACCGCTTATGTATTTTCAAATCAGGCATAAGCAACTTTAGTCATCGGGATGAATAATTTTTGCGTGCAGATAAGTAGCATGCTAATAACAATTTACTTACAATTTTAATAGGAATGCAAATTTTAAACCTAATCTAGAAAATGTCAGTAGCGCTATGAGATTTAACAGCAGGAGTGGATTTTCATGGCAGGTGAGTAGAGGAGATGCTTACAGAAACAATGGTTTAGAAAAATAAGAAAAAATAACTGCAGTAGTTCTTAACTGCAGCATCTTCTGTAATAGAGTTCTTGAACATAGAGTCTACCTATTTGACCAGTAATAATTACTGGTCAGCAGCAATGTGTCATGGAGCCATTCAACAAGCCCTTTAGCTATCTCATGTCTACCTTGGGAGGTTCTTGGGAGAGCACTCTTAAGTTCAGGAGATGTCCTTGTTTTTAGCTGAGACACAGCTCAGTTTCTTTTTAGTAGCTAGAATAGCACTGTATTTTGGTTTCAGCCTGGGATTTGTTATGAGAGAAACGTTGATATTTCCATTATTAAATTGTTCTTATCTCAACCTATGAGCCTTCTTATCCTTACCCCCCCAATCCTCTCCCCTATCCTCTGGGGGTAGGGGAGTGAGTGAATGGCCATGTTTGTCTGCTAGCCAAGGGCTAGCTAGGTGAAACCACCACAGGAGCTCACTTGACTGTATTAGGATGCACAGTAACATGAAGTTTAATGGTAAATTTCCTGGTAGTTTTCTCAAGTTAAATTGCTGGGCTTTTTTTCTGGCTGAACTGGTCACAGAAGTACCTATAGATCTTCTCTGGGCACTTGGGTGTAGCCAGGGCTGTTTTCTGAATCTTACTGTGCTTTTTGTGCTGAGACTTCTTTATGTGATAGTTGTCCTTTGTTTAATAGCCATGGGATTGTGCTTGCTTAGGCAGTTGATAAATAGAGTCTACGCCCACCTGGCTGTCCCCATGTTCCTGGAGAGTGCCTTTGCAAGCAGATGCTGTTGAGTGCCATACTGAACAGATACTACGGTACTTTTGGTGCTAGCAGTGTTTCCTAGGTCTCTGTGTGTATTTTATTAGCAGAAAATGATAGGTTGAAATAGAAAGAAGCACGGGACTGAGGCCGAGAAAGAACTTTCTTTCCAGATGAACGCCTTAAATGTGCTTTGAATTGTGACTCTTGGTTTCTCAGTTCACTGCATTCCCCAGGCAGGTGCTTACACTCATAAAGAAGTATATTTTTTCCTCCTCTGTTATCTAGCTAAGTTCCAACATGGTTTTGTCTTGTTTTTTTTGAGTCCTAGTTAAGGACTTCTACATAGCATGTAAGAACCGTTGATACATAAATCAGCATTGTGAATTCACCTTTTATATGGCAGCTTGTTTTTTTTTTTTCATTACATTTACTTTGATGCATTTAAAATCACATCTAACTAAAAAGTACATTAGTCAGTACAGTAGTGGGATAGTTTCACCGGACCAGCCCATGGCTAGCAGCCAACACAGCCATTCACCCACTTCCCCCCACCCCCTGGAGATAGGGGAGAGGATTGGGGGACAAGGGTAAGGAGGCTTGTAGGGTGAGATAAGAACAATTTAATAATAGAAATAATATAAAACTTAACATAATACTAATATTAAAATAGTAGTGATAATTGTAACAGTAACAAAATATGCCAATGAGTGATACCCAGTGCAACTGCTCACACCCACCGACCGAGCCCGGCCCGTTCCCAGATAACGATCCCGGAGGAGCGACAATCCGGAACCGAAACCGCAATCCCGGCAGAGCGAGAGCCCGAGCGAAAGCCAGAGAGAGCTAAAGAGGAAGAGACCCTCACTGATATACTGGACATGACGTGATATGATATGGAATACCCCATTGGCATATCCAAATGCCAAATTAGCTTATTAATTTAAATATTCCTTGCCCGCTTAGATCTTGTGCTTGTGGACTAACAGAACACAAAGTCCTTCACTTCCAGTGACAAAAATTAAAACACTGGTATGTTATGAGTGTTTCTCTCATAACAAGTCCCAGGCTGAAAAGCAAATACAGCACTATTCCAGCTACTAAAAAGAAACCCAGCTCTGTTCCAGCTAAAAACCAGGACAATATGTCTCTTAAACGTAACTGATCTCTAAGGTCCAAATCTTACAGTCTGCTTTAAAGCAGTACAGTCAACCAACTTTTGCATCCCTGGCTTTTCAGACTTCAGAATATCTTCTAAAGAGATGTTTTAAAACTTTGCTTTCTCCTCACCTCTGACAGAACCTGTGGTTTGGAGAGTTGGGAATTTTATATTTTACAGATTTACAACTTTATATCCTAAGAGCATGAGATCAGATTAATCAGATTTGGCCAAAGGAAGTTGCAAATTATACTGTGCAGGAAGGAAAGGTAAAGCCTCATTTGGATTTACTTATGTGATACATTAGAATTCTGTTATTCATAAATAAGTCGGATCTGTTGTGTAACAAGGAAAACTCTATAGTTTACTTAGGGAGACCTGGAGATGTATATGAAAAGAGTGGTATTTGGATTTGTTGAGGATTATTTAGAACTGTAACTGCTTTTAAGAGATTAGGGTCACTCCTGTTGTGCACAGTGTGAACTCATTAAACAAACAAAATAAACCTTTCTATCCCTCTCACCTCAGTTGGTGACGAGGTTGTTTTTGACACTGGTGGGATTTCTTGTTTAAATCTATATCAAAGTTATATGGTACAGCCACTACATGGTATTACTGAAGAACAGTGAGTATTATTCTTGAAAACATAGGGAGGCTTTTTGGAGAACTGCCAGCTCCTCTGCTGGACAGAAGCTCTGCAATTAACTCTTTGTCCCTGGGCAGTCCCAGTAACATTGGAATATCCCACAGAGCAGCTTTGCTTAATGGCTGGCAAAGACCATCTCCAGAATCTGCCTTCCAAAGATAGCAGCAAGCTAGTTTTCCTTAATAGGTGCTGTACAGATTCTCTGGATAGTCTTTTATTTTTAAAGAAGATAAATAAATGCTGGCAAGATCATTGCAGACAAATGGTAAGTTGAATGTTTGTTCAAAATACATATCCTTGAGATGTGAAGTCTGGCAAAAAGGAGTTTGTCATGGTTTTAACTTGAGACTGCTTTGCACCTCCTCCTCCAAGTTTCAGCGTAGCTTTTCACTTTCCCCTTCGCTAGCTGTGGGCAGTTTTGTTGTTTCATGTTCTGGTGTGTTGACTCTGACTTTCATAGGTTTCATATGAAGTTGGAATATCACTCAGAAGTACATTGACACCTGTTTTCTACGGGTGGAAAGAAAAACTAACTAGGCTATGCTGAAATTTTTTGCTGTTTGTAATTTTAAGTAGTTGGAGAATCCACAGTCTTTGCTTTCAGACAGTTCCAAAAACTGGGTTAATTTGTGACCTTATTTTTTTAAATTATTTTTACAAAGCCAAGATTATTAACCTGACTATAGGGCTAAGAAACAAGAAGATTAAAGAACTGAAACTCTCCTTCTTTCTGCCGTTCTTGTCCCTTACCTTCATGATGAATTATGTTACAGAAAAAATCCTCTCTCAAAGACACTCCATGTGAATTGTCCCTTTAAGAATGCTTCATTATAACTCTAAACCAGCATTTTACAATGAGTTTTCATTGTGTTGTCACTTACCTTTGGCTACAGATGCCCCAAATGGTTGAATTTCTGTTTTCATTCCTTGAATCCACCCCTGCTCTCCTCTCCCCTGTAGAGAATGGGCAGAGGTTTGTGGTTTTTATCTGAAATAAAAATGGAAAGCTTTATGGAAATTATTCAAAACAAATTCAACAGTCTGATGAAAATAGAGTTGAAGTTTATTGCCTTTAAAATGTAATTAAACTGGACCTGTGTTTTTGTAAAAAGGCTTTTACTATGAACTCTGTTCACTGTAACTGCTTTTGAGCATTCTTTTTTTTTGCCCCCCCTCAAAGCCACAACTCATAGCAAGTGGCTTTCTTGCCAATGCGCTGAGTTAGCACTCATGGTATTTAAGAAAATAAATCAGCTTCGCTGCTATTTTACTTTAGTGTGCTTGGCCAGAAACTGTGGCAGCTTCTGAATTGCTTTAGAAGCAATGACGTCTTTTAGGGGAGGAGCAGGTGGACAGCTGGGGATAGAAATCTCTGTAGCTGAACTGGGGATGAGTTTTTACTGACATCCTGAGTTATGCTAAACTGAAAGCTGGGTGGCCTTTTTATGAGCAAAGTTAAAAATGGATTTTGAATGTGAAAGAATAATAAGCTAAAAACCCACATCCTTCTCCCACTTTTTTAATTTTAAAAAAGATAATATATTTTTATACTTCCTTCCCCTGTTAGAATTAATGTATCTCTATTTTTGGTTGCCCAGAGAAGTTGTGGATGCCTCCCTCCTCCCTGGAAGTGTTTAAGGCCAGGTTGGATGTGGCTTTGAGCAACCTGGTCTAGTGGAAGGTGTCCCTGCTGATGGCAGGGGGGGTTGGAACTAGATGATCTTTAAGGTCCCTCCCAACCCAAACCATTCTATGATTCTATGATTTTTCTGTTGAACGTTGGCAGCCAACTTTTATTATGAAAAGATCTATTGCATAGCTTATTACTTTCTCTTCTTAAGGCTTCCTTTTTAAAAAATCAAAAACCATGGCAGCATGCTATTTCAGGGTGTTTACTGAATGTCCTGGTGGTACTGGTTGAATGGCTTATGTAGCTCAGTAGCACTAAAACTCATAACAAGCTAATAAAACTATTTAGTTAATGGTTATGAATTTGAAAACTGTCTTGGATGTACTTGGTAATGCTGCTTAGTAATAGTATTGACATCAATAAATTGCGTATCAGTGGCTGTACAAGTCACCACAAAAGTTGAAAATACATGCATCAGCAATTAAAGTGCATGTCTATGTGATGTAGTTTTTCAGAAGTTGCTTTATAATTTAAGACACCACATGATGGTGAAGAGAAGCATTTTCTGTATATATTTTCAGATCATGATCAGAAGCATTTTCTTATTTTTGGATCGTACTTATGTCCTTCAGAATTCAATGCTTCCTTCTATATGGTAGGTATCCATGTAAGTATTCCTTGAATCTTTAGAGTTTGAACATGCCATCATATTTGTAAAGGCTGAAAGTAAATTTCTTGCATTATATCTGATCTGTGTAATAGGTCTCTAAAATTTTGTGTTAATTTTTGGAAATATATGTATTGGTGTATGCATGTGTCATTTCCTCCTTCCCCAGGAATAGTCATTGTAAAGTGAGGGTAAAAGAAACGAAATGTCTGTGAACATATACTTAAAAGTCAAGGCATACATATAGCTGTAGTTGTCACAGCCTGGGTGAGGCTGGCTGTGTGGGGAACCTCCTTGGGCTGCTGACTCTGCACCTTCACCCTGTGCCCAGCGTTACTTTAGGTGCTTCTGGTTCTGACAAAATTCAGTTCTCAACTTCTTGCTTTTTTTTTTTTTAAGTAAGTCGGATACACTGAGAAGGTGCAGATCACCTTTCCAGCACTGGCCTCTTGAGGGTCGAGACATGTGGCTCAGGGCATTGAGGTGAAAGACAGCTCCCCTAGATGCTGCTGTACTTTCAGCACGCTGCAGTCACAACTTTGGGCATTTAGTTTTTCACCATCTCTTCTGAGGAGCATTTTATATCATAGCCTGAGCAAAAAATACCCAGGCTTTGCTGAAAATTTCTGGTATCAGTACTCTGTCTTCAGAAAAAAAAAAAAAAAAAAAAAAAAAAAAGAAGAAAAGATGTAAAGTACTGAAGTAAGAGCATGCCCTTTCCCTGCCTGGCTGGCTTATGTGCTCTCAGGAGTTCCTCAGGTTGTCTGAGGAACCTGCCATCCTTGCTCATCCTATGGATGTCTTTCTTCCCGACCTCTGCAGCAGTTTTCCTCCAACTCTTAGGCTTCCCTTTACTGAATGTCATTGAAGAGGTCTGTTCATACTTTGTGTCTTTTTTTTTCATACCGGGAAAATTTCCTTGAGTGAAATCCTGATGTATGTGAAGCTGTTGGAGATAACAAGTTTTATCAAATATTCCTCTGTTTTCCTTGGCCAAGACAATGCTTAATTATTGTCGTCTTTGTGGCATGGAGGCACCATTCCTTATCATCTTGGTATGGAACAAGTCTCATTCAGGTGGTCAGTCATAAGGTCCTAAACACATACAGGACTCATACTTTCAAACCAAATTTGTAAATTACACATAGATTGACTGATCCAGGCAATCTTAGGTTAAGGTATATGTTCAGATTTTTAAAATTATTTTTATGATAGCAATTTTCTTAATTAACAAATAATGTTATGCCTATTACGTGAAATATGTACAGGGTGGTCACAGTTCTCAGCTGAAATGTGTGCATCTGGTAGCATGTGGCCTGGCACTTTAGTGATAATTCTTGTTACAGTTTTCTTAGTGGACAGCATCAGAGAGTATACACACCATTAATATATTCTCTCTCTGTATAATACGTATATACTGTATATATTTTGTATGTATATATTTTTCTCAAACTGAGATACAGACTTTGGAAAAGAATCATCAGTGTGATTATTAATTTTCAATATTCACCCAGGGATATGGGGCTAGAGTTATTTCGCAATCACGTCATTAGTGACAAGCAAGTTCAAAACAAGACTATTGATGGAATCCTCCTGCTGATTGAGCGAGAGCGGAATGGGGAAGCTGTGGACAGGAGTTTGCTGCGGAGTTTGCTGAGCATGCTGTCTGATCTGCAGGTGAGTGCATTAAACTTCACTTTGTAATGGTACATTTAGAAACAGAGTTGGGACTTTTCTAGTTTGCGTGTGGTACAGAAATAATTTTGTCTTTTTGTAAATGTGCTTCAAAATCTGTCTGTTAGACTGATAAGGTTTCCTTTTCTTTACTCGGTGCACAATGTTTCATTCTGTTTTTGTAAATGAGACCTCTGCCTGTTTTTCTTAGCTGATGTAGTGACCTACAGACTCTTAAATAATAGGTTTGCAAGTCTTTTAGTATGTGCAATGCTTTATCTGTCTTAATCACTGGTTTTCTAGTCCTAGTGCTGGTTGAATGTAGCAACCAAAAAAGACCTCCTCTGTCACTGTTTGGGAGTCCAGATTCCTGGGTCTGTATCACAAAAACATCACTGCATTGGCAACTTCTTAGCAGAAATGCCAAGGTTAGAATGAGATGCGAAGTTAAGGCCAAATAGATAAGGTCAATCTGTAACCTCCTGGAACTTTGTATTAGCTGTGGTTACTAAGTAACCAAACAGAATGAAAAGTGTTGTGCTTCTGACTCTGGCATAGGTTATTCTCTGGTCAACATTGCATCTTTGTATGATGTGCAATAAAACTTAGGAGCTGTCTTTCACTCTTACAAACTGTTGAGGTCGCTCTGTTCCCAGCTGGTGTGCAGTGTTATCGAACTAGCTGAAGGTTTAGAAAAGAGTTTGAAGAGGAAGATAGCATAAAATAGCCCTTTTTGGTCAGGCAGCTTACCTGCTCTTCTGCCTTTCATGTTAACCCTCTAGGGTTTCATCCATAACTTTCTCTAGTGTACCAGAAAAATTAGTAACTAATTATTCTGTTCAAGAGAAAAGACAAACTCCTGTCAATGATTTTTCAGATCACATAACCTGGAGGTACGGATCTGATTTGTGTGCTTTTCCCTGCTTTTTTTCCCCATTGTTATTTGCTAAGTTTCTCTGACTGGGTCAGCTTTTTCTAGGCATCGACTTTTTAACATTTATTATTTTTTAACAAAGTACTCTGCTAGCTAAAGGTAAACTTTCACCTTTATTGGATCCTTCTTAGAGAACTGGATTTAAGTCTGCCTTCTACTTCGTTGACTCAGAAGTGTAGTTTTCTTTTTTCACTAGGAAAGCTAGCCTAATCTAATCTCTTCTTTTATAATATCTGTAGCTTCACTGAGACAGAGATGTACTCATAATCTTGTAGTTATATGCCAGGATCTCTACTTCTCCCTCTTTTGACATAAGTTAGCTTCTGGAGAAAGATTAATTAATTAAGCAAATCTTATATTTCAGTTGAAAACAATGAATCTCCTACTCATTCCTGATTTTTAAGCAATTATGCAGTTGAGGCCCAGCCCTGCTTGCATAAATCCTGTTCTATAGCTGTTTCCTATTGTAGAGCTTTACACGTTTTATGCAGAAAATAGTTCCATATACTGTTATGTTAATGTTTTTCCAGTTATCCCAAAGGAAAGGAAAGTAAGAAATTAAATCTAGTATTTGATTCTGTTGAATGTGGAGCTTGTGTAAACATGAGTTGATGTCTACTTGTGATGCTGAATTAGTGAACTGATATGCTCTGAATGCTTGTCAAGCCAGGGGTTTCATATTTAAGTTTGCATTGAAAAAAATGAAGCTTTTAAGAGTCCTTAAGATAAAAAAATATGTCAGAATGTAATGAATTTTACAGCTCTACTGTATATTTTTTTAATAAATATTTTTTTCTATTCGTCCACCACACTCACGGAATCTTTTCTTTTAATTTTCACTGACTGTCCCTCTGTTTACATGTTATTCCCTCGCAGCCTTCTCCAGACTGTATTAACTATTTTATATAATTGTCCTTTCAAACTTACCTATTTTCTGTACTAAACTGTTAATCATTATGCAGAAATTTTTTTATGTCTGTGATTGTTGTTGGTGCCCTTTTTACACACCTTTTCCCTTCCCTGGAGAAAGAGTTCATTTTTCATGGGCCACAGAGGTAAATCTGGCAGATCTGAAGATGCGTTACTGAGCATATTATTAGTTTACTGATGGGAATTACCTGTTTTGTGCCAATGTTTCACTAGTTGGAAGTGTTTTATTATTTTTTTGCCACAGAAATATCAGTGAGAATCTTAAGCTCAGGTGGATTGGATGTCATTGCTGTGCTGTGGTGTTGGGCTGTGTGCCTTAAACAGAAGCCTGTCAATGTAGACGATTTGAGTACTGATGACTGAAACACTCTGTTGCTGCACTGGGATGTCAGCTTTGATCTCAGTCTTTCTAAAACCAGTGGGCAAACGGAGAACTTCTGTGTTAATGTAATGTTACTCTGACCCTTCCTATAACTCTGTGCGTTCTTGAGATTTTACTTGCCCTCTGTGCCTGACAACCAAAATATGCAACCTTTACTGGCAGCTTAATGTAAGTAACTAAATTAATTTCTTGAACAGGTTTACAAGGAATCATTTGAACAGAGGTTTCTGGAAGAGACAAATTGCTTATATGCCGCGGAAGGCCAAAGATTAATGCAAGAAAGAGAGGTAGGTGTATGCTGTAGGTGATTGCTTTTATGTTAGTTAAAACCTCTAGTAGTGAACACATTAATATTCACTGAAATTCACTGGTACCCAGCTACACATTTACACATTCATATGTTTTGATACGCACCACAGTATCGTATCAAAGGGAAGAGCAGAATCCAGATTGCCTTGGTGCTTGAAATATATAATTAAGGCTGGAGAAACCCGGTGACATTTGGTGTAGCTAAAGTCACACTACCAGAAAGGCATTTCCACATAAAACCATCAATATTGTTTTGTCCAAGAGCTGCAAAATATCCACTGGCATCATTTTACTATGTGGTTAATGCCCAAGTAAATCTTTTACTTTTTTACTATTTTGTTGCATTTATTTTGCTGTTTTGTTTCTTTTCCTTTCTAGTTAAATAGACTTAAGACATTTTTGTTTTCTGTCCTCTTGAGATAAAACTATGTTCTGCAGTGTGCAGCCTGCAAATGTGGTTATCTCTGAAAATGTATATCAAAAGATGTTGTTTCTTGGTGGTCTAAAATACAGAAGATTACCTTTATTAATTCCATTTTAACACTGAGTCTCTACAAACATTTCGAAAACACCTGTTTACATTGCACTGAGGTGAATCCTTGTGTCCAATCCTGCTCCATCCACCTTATTCCTTGGCATTCCGCTGGGACCTGTGGTGAAATGCTTCAGCAGAAGTTTTGAAACAAAGAGTCTTACTGCTTTTATACACCTAGTAGAAAGCTGTGGAAGAACACAAAAGGAGCGAGGCCCTAACTTATACAGTGCATACATGTACGTGTTTATGCATGTGCACAGAATGCATGCACATATATGCACATACATGCAGACGTACGTGCATGTGTATGTTGGTGCATACATGTAGGTATATGCACAACTGTTTTGATGATTTGAAGCCTGAGTTTCATACCTGTGTCATAACGTGATAAATGTGACAGCCGCCCATAGGGGCAGATACCTTGCTGGACAAACTGCCATTGAAATAATAGAACTCTGTGGTTCACACCAACTGCAGATCTGCTCCATGATATTTGAAGGGCTGACCTAACTCAGGAGCCTTTTGAGAAAAAACTAACTTCCTCTGAAAAATTTTCTTTTTCTGTTCCTTTCTGTCAGGTGTGGTTATAATACTTTGAATATGAAGTAACATTGTTCAGTAAAAATATAGACTGTGTAGTATGTAACAACATTCTGGTGAAACAGTCCTCTCCAAGTTGTACTCTCTTCAAATTTGTAATTCCAAATAATTGTAATGGAACAAGATTATCTGCCTTTCATACTTTTGCAGTTGAACGTGGCGTTCTCTTCTCTCGCTAGGTCCCAGAATACCTTCACCATGTTAATAAACGTTTGGAAGAAGAAGGTGACAGAGTAATAACATATTTAGACCATAGCACACAGTGAGTACAAATTTTATCATTCTTGGCATAAGTGGAGCATCTGTCATAAAACAGTGTGATTATCCTTGGTTGTAGAGACACAGAGATTGTTTCCATGTTATCTTACAGGTATCCTTTTGACAGCACTTGCGATCCAGCTTGGGGTTTTAAGATTTTATTTTTATCAAAACTGATTTCTTTAAAATCAAAACACACTCTGAGTGAGAGGGGAAAGATTTGTCCAGAAAGATATATCAGTATAAATTGAAATTAACAAAACATTATATAATAACTCAAATTTGCATTATCAAAGTAGTAGCTGATTTTAACTGTTCATGTGCTGATAATCACTACAAATCACTTAAGGGAAAGAAAGATTTATTAGGAAAAAAAAAAAAAAAAAAAAAAAGGAAAGAATAAGTTAAATTATGGCAAGGATACAGACCATGAACATCACTCATGAGCAGTCCAGGATGTGAATTTACAGTACATCAGCTTTGGTGCAGCTGCTGCCAATGTATTGTGCAAGGTAGCTTGTCCTGTTTTCACTCAGGTGTTGAGTAATAGCGTGTGTTTTGCTAGGGTACGAATGTGCATTCAGAAAGTGCTGTGCAGAGTCAATTACATGCTGTAAATCCACGTGTAATTTGTCCTGCACTAAGCTGTTGCATTTTTTTTTAATAAAGAACATAACTTTTTATTTTTTTGTTTTCTAGATGATGTATTGGCATTTCATTGGGTGTTAAAAGGATAACGCTGAATAAAAATTACCTTTTTAACTTACCATTTTCTTCAGATATATTTTATATATGCATCTGTATACACACTTGTGCATGCCTTGCATGTCATAATACATACTTGAACTTGAATCTTTTTTCTGTAAATGCTGATTGCAGGGTGACTAGCTTTTTCAGGCAAAATCAGTCACATGAAAATAAATGGAAGTATTTCTCTATATACAGTTAAAGCATATAAATATATTTATTTACTCTAAGTTAAAAAGTGGGTTGATATAATTATATTTTCAGTGTGTCTAGGTGTAAATTAAGTCCTTGCTTTGAATCTAGTCCTTAGTTAAAGACTTAGGAACCTACTTTCGGGAGGCTTCACAATGATTTCTTTTCTTTGCATTAAGAAACAGCAGCTCTCAAAATTAGTGCCCTTGAGTTGTTCTGAGGTCATACTGTCTCTCCAGGTGTGCATGAAAAGAGCAGAAAGGATGTTAAATTTAGTTACTAGGTTTGATCTTGAGATGGAAATGATCCTTCCAGGACAAAACTGTCATGGGAAACAACATTCAAAATACTTCAAATTTGTGCAACACACGGAGAGTGTGTTGTTGCAGCCTGTAGAGTGATTTTCTCAGCCTGTCAGTACATGCCTCTTTGTGGACAGCTGACCAGAATAAGGATGTCTGCTGGTTGGTCAGTAGATGACTGAGCTAGGTGACTTTGAAGCCATACAGAAGGTACCTTCAGGCTCATTCCTCAGCTAGCAATCAAGATAAATACTCGTTCTGTCTGTCTGCTTGTTAGGAAATAGCACTTTGCTTCTAAGTCTCAAACAGGCCAATTATCCTCACTTCCCCTGTAGGCAGAATAAGTCTGCCAGGGCTCCTTCTGCTGTTGGAGACAGTCAGCAGCTGTAGATAGCAGTAGTTGGAAGTTTCAGAGAATGTGCAAGGGACCATAAAAATGGCTGTATGTGTCAAGACCAAGGATCTGTAACTGGTATTTCATGTTTGCTTATGACTACTCAAGGGGAAGAATAGAGTAAGTGCATGTGATGCCCTGGTACTGTCCTCGTGCCTGCCTGTTCTCAGCACAGGATATTTTATGTGGTTTGTCTGTTTAGTATTATTCAACAGATCTCTTCCAGGTACTTGTGCTTGTCTCACTGGGATTCCTGTAAGCTTTTCTATCTGTGCCATCCTTTGGCAAAGCATTCCACCAGTGCAGTAGCCACCACATGATAAATCACTTCCTTTTGTTTAAGCCTGGCTCCCAGTACTATCACTGATGACCCCAGCTCTTTGGAAGGGAAAGTGATCAGTCAGTTCCCTTCCACCTTTTCCCTGCCTGTCAGTGCACTGTATCCTTCCTAAACCATCCCTTTCCCAGAAAGAACAGCCCCAACACGTGTAGGTTTTTTTCTTGCAGCTGCTGCTGCATACTTGGATCATTCCTGTTCTCTTCTCTGAACCTTTCCAAATTTTAATTTAATCTTTCAAGATGAAAGGAGTAAAACTGTATATTGTGTGGAAGGTCAGGCAAGTAATTGGTGGGGTGTTTCAGGAAAAATGGTGTTTTAGCAAAGGCAGAGACATAAAGTGGCTGCCTCTATATGAATGGCTTCCATCAATCTGAGTTGAGCACCTCTCCTAGAAAACCTAAATTAAGGCCTGAGAACGAGTTTTATAAAAATGTAACGCAGAAAGAAGTGTTTGTTCTTTTGTTGTCATGTGTTAAAAAATCAAAGAAGTTTCAATATTGGAATTAGTTATCCCTTTGCACTTCAGGCATTTCTTTCTTCTCTTAGGCTATAAAGGATGGAAAGGAAAACTTGCCATTTTTTTTTTTTTCAGTCCTGTCTGATGCAAATGTATCAAACAAATATTTCAGTAATAGCAAAAAGTAGGGAAATTCAAGGAGAAATTCAAAATGTTTTGCAAATTTAAGTCTTGTGGTTCTTGCTCAATTTGTGCTTATGTAGGTGCATAATATGATTGGATGAAAAGTTTGACTTTTGAACATCACCAGCATGTGCTGTATTGGTTTGGAGTTCAAACCCTTGGAGGATTTTGTTGATTTGGTTGGCTGTTTTTTTCCAAGACAATGTCAATGTTACTTTTTCCCAGAAACTTTTTAATACTGATTTTTGGTATATGAGCTTTTGTCTGCTACTGTGTATGAACTTGCTTTTTAATATTCAAAAATGAGTTTCTTTTTTAATTACATACATTGTTTTTTGTTTTCTTTCTTGACTTATATTACGTGATATTTTTGTCGTAACTTGTGGCTTCCATTTTAAGTAGAAAATTGCTGATTTTTTGTATGATTATGTAAGTTATTCACAAATGTGCTGTGACAGGAGGCAATTTGCTTACACTGTAGTACTTCTAATATACTTTTCTTGCCTTATTTAGGAAACCACTCATTGCTTGTGTGGAGAAACAGCTACTAGGAGAACATTTATCAGCTATTTTGCAAAAAGGTATTTTTTTAAAAATTAATATAATCTCCAATAAGTCATACTCTGCAGTAACTATAGACTCCACAGATTTTATTTTAAGGAGATACATTAGCCATGGAAAAAACTTTACATGTTTTTTCACAGATACAGAAAGCCAGCTCTATAACATTGTTACACCTACTGTGACAAGTAAATTGTATGTGGGGAAACAAATATCTAAAATATAATTCTGTATTTGTAAAGGTTGCTAAACCCCCTAAATCTCCTTTAACTTGCAGCAGTGGGCTTAGGAATTAGACCTTTGTAACTGCTGGTTTCCTAGAATTATATAAACTTCCAAATTAGAACTGTGGTTACTGTCATCGCTTCTTTTATGTGATAATCACACAGTTCAGGTACAATAGCTTCACATATTCTTGTGACTGTATAGTTTGAGAATCATGAGTTATTGGAACTGACAATGTTCCAAGGGAATGAACCTTAGCATGCTTTTGTCTGTATTTTATCTTTTGTCTGGCAATTTCAGATACAAGCTGCTGTCTTCTTAGCAACTCCTTGTTCAGACGGTGTCTTCAAATCACCATATTTTCTTTGTTCCTCTTAACTTTTACTCCTTCTCTCTTTCAGTGAATTTCTGGGTTTGATCAGTATTCCCTGGTGTTTTAATACTTTAAATGATCCTTTCCTTTTCTTGCAGTAGCCATATTTTAGGTTTTAGATCCTCTAGCAAATTGTTCTTACATCTTTGTTTCCTTTACTGCTGCAAAAGAGATGTCCCTAGTAGCCTGGTATCTTCAGGCTCTGTCATGTCCATGTGTGTTAATACTTTTGGGTTGTTACACATACCCCTTTCACTTCTTTCTTCATCCCCTTTAAAGATAGATATATGCTCACATTTTCTCTGAACTACTCTGGGAACAGGTTATTTCACTGTTTTCAGTATATTTATAAAAACAAGCGTGATTACTCCATCTTAGCTATTCTTAAGCTTATCATAAACAGAAGGTAGGAATAATTATATTTTTGTTGATATATGTCAATTTTGCTTGCTCTTTAATCCAAGTATTATTTTGAAATAACTTTTCCAGTGACACATTTGCTTATCAGTTGGCTTAACCAGAAAGTATGTGGTCTTGTTTTAACCTGAACATTTTCTTGGTTTGTAATATATATGTACCATCCATGTAAATACGGAAAGATTTGCACATTTTTCTGGTTACTGTGTTTTAGGACTGTAGTATTGCTGGATTAGCTTCTGTATTCTACATCTGCACTTTAAAAAACAAAAAAAGAAAAAAAAGAGTAAGTCTAACATCACTTGACCTGCATAACTTTCTGCATTCATTTGATCCAGGGTACATTGTAATTCACTTATAACATTATAGTATTCCATGAAAGTAGAAGATACTGCCTTTTGTAAGTTTTTTTTTCCTTAAGAGAAGGCCCGTGATGAAGTCAGTTTGATACGGGGTGGGGGAAGCTTACAAATGCAGACTATGGATAAGAAACTTTTTTCTTGTATTATTACAAGTGCTGTTGACTAGATATCGGTGGGTTTTTTCCATTGTAATATTTTTTCCAAGGTTGTGGCAGTGCTTTATGGAAATTGTGTGAAGCCTTATCTCAGAGGACTTTCCTATATGTCTTTTTCAGTTGTCAAGTATATGACAAAATATTTATTTAAATCACACAGTTTATATGCCAGAGGAAGAAGGAAGGTTAAACTTTATAATTTATAACAAAGCAGTTAGTGTATTGGTATCTTTAAATGAGCAGGAAGTGAAGCTTGGACATGATGGAATGGGCCTTTCTGAATTCCCTGTTCAGTGCCAAAGAACATCAGTTACATGTATTCAAGACTTTGTAATCTGTCTTCCTATATACTTTTAAAGTACGCTTATTCTTCTTCTATCTCAATGTGGGCAAATTTTACCTGGCACCGTTCTTGAACTTTTTTTGCCTTTCTGAAGATGTAAGTTATAATATACAGTGAAAGTATTTTTAAGATGAAGAATATAGTAGAAAATGGGATAATTGGGTAGTGATTGAAAATCCTTCGTAATAAAATACCATTTTAAAATTGGAATTAATGAACATTATTTTTTGAAGTAGGACAATTGTACAATGTCAGCTACATTAATAATGTGAATTGCCAACCTGTGTAAACTCAAGCTTTCTGGATTTTAAAAAATGCCATAAATCTTTGATGTTACCTGCCCTTATTTCTAAAGCCTCTGTCACCAGCAGCAGACAATGTATCTCTGATTACACTGGGACTACATCATGTTCTCAAATGTAAAAATGTGTATGTAATTGTTGCGCTTCATGTTTTGCCTTGAACTTCACTTCC